GTGTTAGTCGGTTTTCCACGAACCATAGAAACTGAAAACAGATCTTAATTCGTGTGTTCGCATTTTTTGATTTGGATTTAGAGGTTCGCGATAGTAATTGAGAAAACTGAGTCTAGGAGGTGTAGCTAGTGCCAAGGGAAAAACGAAAGGGGTGACATTCACTATCATTGCGCGACGCTTGTGGAGGACAAGATCATGGACATTGCGTCTCTCGAGAAGTTTCTTCAAGAGAGGATTAAGGTCGGTGGCAAGGCCGGCGCGCTCGGCGACACCGTCACGTCGCACGTGGAAAAAAATGACACATTTTCCCTTTCAAATCATTTGGATGGTGGAAGTTTTGCCAAACTTTTTGTTGGATCTGTTCCTCGAACAGCCACTGACGCAGATGTAAGTTATATTCTAATGATTTCTTATTTTTCATAACATTGAAGGATGTTGATTGTCGTTTAGTTTGGTTTATTAATGACTAATATTATCTTCTAAGTTCTAAGAATTATTTGATTATTTAATGCCAGATTTGGCCATTATTTTGAGGATATTTTAATTCATATACACTTTATTTCAGGTTTTTTGAGAGGCTGATGGTAGAGAAAAATAAGCTCATCATCATCTCAGTTTGTTTTGCAACAAGTTCAGACGTGTTGGTATGGGTTCCATCCTTTGTTACCTTCATCATGTCATAACTGAAGGAGCCACAATATGTAACCTGTAAACAGATGGGATCTTGGAGGACCAAAAGATCTTTCTCTTGAAATCGTAGTTGCAGCAGTGGGGGCATTACCCAAACATTTGATTATAGTTGGAGTGTTGGTTTCTTGTAGACTTTTTATGTCAAAATTTTAGCAGTCTGTTATTGTACAAAGGGATTAGAGGAAAAACTTGGATTATTACATTTTAATGGTGTTAATCACAATGTATTTCTGAAGGATTAATATTTCTCATATTTTGGTGAATAAGTGATTATTGAATGAATGGCCATGAAGTTGGGATGACTAAATGTAGATGATGATTGATATTAGTGTGTGGTGTTTGCTGGAATTGATACTTCGTTAGCTAACTTATGAGTGGCAGGGCGGTATCTGTTGAAGACATGATTGATGGCTAATAATTTGTGTTTTATGTAAAATCTAGGCAAGTAGTTTTGGTGTTATTGTTATGCTTCCATGTTGGATTTGATGTTCCTATATCTTATGGTTTTAGAATGGTGCCCATTTTGAACAATGATTTTGCTTCTTGGTGACACGATGTCTGTGATTGCCTATAATAATGCAGGCCCTTGCAAATCTTTCTAAGAAGCTATGTGGTTGTTTTACAATTGGAAATGCACTGGTTTAGGATAACAATAGTGATCATGTATACATTTTTATTTTAAAGCACGACAGGTATGAATAGGTATTTCTCTATTTGACTGGATCTAGTGCCAATTGGCCCATTATACTCTTATTGACTATTTTGTTGGTGCATAAAGTTTAATGGAAGGAAACATAGTTGTTTAAATGGTCATCATGGAAGGTTTGATTCTCAGGGGCTCTAAAATATTGCATAGTGTTGGCCTTTATTTATTTGATACTAAGGTTGGAATCACGGTTGTGCTTCATCACAAGAATTTATTGCAACCTTTTATGACAATTGTTTATATATATATATAT